CAATGATTACATTCAGGCAAACTTTAGAATACTACCTCTTTGGAGAATTTATATACTTATTGAAAACAAGCTACAAAATGTAAAACCTTGGAAAATGCCATTTAATACTTTTTAATAGCCTTAATTTTCGCTAAAATTGATTTATCAATTTTTAATACTTTTTAAGACCCCGCGGACACCCTGAATGAATAAAACATTGAAATAGTTCATTAAAGTAACTGGAACAGTTAATGAGTTAGGATGGTACAGTACTACTGAGGATACAACTCAATAGGGTCATTTGACCTAAAGTCAGTGCGCAGAGTCGCAGACCCTAAAGAACATGATCACATATCATACCAAAATACTCTTTATATAATGTGTAACGCTGTTTAGGATTTAGTAGGAAATCACTGGAAACTCGTCCTTTTCAGAACATGACAGTGGCCTTTAAGTAAAAATGGGAGTTTAGATTGTCCATTCTGAGCTATAGAAACATGGAGGAATAGAAGAAGACGGCCTGCTTCCTTGTAGACAAGAGGGGCTCAAAGCAAAAAAAATAACAATTGTTAGTTTCAGGGGGGCATAAATTAACAAAATAGCTATGAGCAGATTCCGTATCTGCACTGTTGATGAAGCGCTTCATCTGTTGAGCTGTAAGTGGGACCATGAGGAAAATTAATCAAATCCTTAATGTCAAAATATTCCTGTGATCAAACCGCAGCGCAAGAAGATGAGTTTTGAGAGGAGGTAACTCAAGATGAAAAGGATTTTATAAATACAATTAACTTGAGCGCCTGAGTTCCCTCTGTTTTCTGAGAGCAGTGCTTGTCACTGGCTAAATGGATGATTGACCTTTCATGGCAAAATATTAATAGAGTGGAAATAAATCAGTGGTTCAGGGAATAGTAATCTCGTCGTTTCTTAGAAAAGATTACAAATTTGTTTAAGGGCAGATACGACTAAAAACGTGTGAGGTCATTTGTAGAACATATGGATGAATCACATATTCTTGAATCTAGATCATCAAGATCTTTCCTTATGCCGGGGTTTTGTAAACTTTTTTTTCTAGTTCTGCTTTACGAGTCCAGCTTTTTCAAAAGGATTGATTTAGAGAACAAAGGAATTCTTCAGTAGTGTTCCCGTCGGTCTGACTCTGACCCAACATTATCCAACCATTGCTTGTGCTAATACTAGTGCTGTAGCGACGCGTCGACGACTTCAAAATATCGTCGACGACATATTTCCGCGTCGACGCGTCGCTACACACACGTGGGTCACCCAAAGCAACAAGCAGTTCGCAATCGCACTTCAAACACAATGGAGACTGAAACGGCTACCACCTCCTCCTCACAGGATTGCGCACGAAGCCCCCAAACGAAAACATCTCGCCCTAGGTCTTCAAAAGCATGGGAATATTTTAAAGTTAGTCCAAAACGCAAAGATATTTATATATTTATATCTCACTGAGACTGCTGCATAGCCTAGCAGAAGCAGCAGCTAGCTGTGGTGGCTACCATTAGCAGCTAGCATTTGCTCTCCGATTTTTACATAAAATGGAATTATGGATTATAAATTCAATCATTTTTTTATACATAGACGTTAAAAACCTATGGATTAACCGATTCAGCCGCGTTTTTTCTCATTTTATTGCCATTGAACACGTCTTTTGATCAGATTACGGTGGTGAGACGATCTCCCGAGAAGCTCTGTGAAGGTACGTGTTGTGATGACTGTATTTGCTTCCCCTGTCGCGAGTCCGGATCACTCAGTGATGATACTATATACCTACATAATCTGTGGAGTCTCAGCTTTAATCGGATATATTGTATGTGCAGCTATGATAAGTAATAAGGGTACTTTTATCTTGAGTTCTGTGCCAATGTCCGTTAGCATTTTTCGCTCAGTGGTCATTTAGATGCTTCTTATGAGACTTGTGTTTTGTTTTGGTAAACATGGTTTGTATCGTCAGTTAGAGATTATTTCCGTTAATCTGGTATAACACATTAATAGGTTCTTAAATATTAAGATCCCCTGAGACACAGTATCGTGAAAAAAAATTTTTTTACATTACGTTTTTTATGAATTGAACAACAGAAAAATAATCGTTAGATTAGTCGACTAATCGATCAAATAATCGCCCGATTCATCGTTTTCAAAATAATCGTTTCCCCCCAGCACTAGCTAATACATTCACATTTTTATCGCTCCAAGTATGAGACGTTTTCCAGCAGAAAAGTACTCTCTATATTATGTAAATACCCCATGTTGGCAGGACATAGGGTGAGATAAAGTATAACAAAAAGTGGTAAAAAGGACCCCTCAGGAAAAGTTCACAGCGCTGCATTTGTAAGGCAAACATTGTACAATTTCTCTGAAGTTATTATGATGTGGTTGAATTGATTGCCTGGTTGGATGGGTAGGAAAGAGAGAACAGGGTTAATACACACCCAGGGAACAAAGGAGGCAGAAGAAGATTTGGAGCATATCTCTGGAAGAAGAAAAAAAAATGCTAATAGTTTAAACATTTCACATCGCTGAGTGACATACCCTCACAGCGTTCATCAAAGTTCAGACAAATTCAATAACATCATCTTCTACAGATGCACCAGAGCGGAAATGAGAGCTTGACTTTTATTTCTCCTATCTGCGTGTTATTTCCACGCTTCTCTCATGCTTCACAATGAAGGGCTTTGAGCCAAATCAGCGAGAGAGAGGCTGATGGGGTGAAAACTGTCGTCCTTATCTACGTAGGAGAGTGGAACAGATGCGGATATGACTCTGTTATCATGCAGCTCACTGAAAGAGAAGAGGCGAAAGATTAGCTGGGAAGGGAGAGAAGGAGGAGGGGGGTTCGGAGGAAGAGGAATGTGTACTCCAATGTCAGGTTAATTGCAGGAATAGATTTTTTTGCAGGTAGGAGAATCCTAAACAACTTGTATTACCCCCCATTAGTAAATATACTCAGCATCATCTTTCATTTTCACAAAGAGGCAGTCCTATTCTCGTTACTTGGCATTAATCACTTGGCTAAACAAACAATTAGATGCAGCAACTACGAGCATATGCTCAGAGAAGAATGCTCCTAAAGAAATACCACATTCGCTTTATGTCAACATTTTAAAGTCTGTTCAGTGTGTATGAGCTGATGGCTGGATCTCTTCAGTCCTATTGAATAACACAGCCGCTGATCAATATTTGGGGCGAAATCACTCCACTAGTTTCCCCGGTTATCATTCTAGCAGTGTCCGTCTGACTTTCTCAGGAAAACAATCACCAAAAGAGATCAAAGTGTTTCTTTTTAAGTGAACCTGTAACCATGTGACGACCAACCTTTGATCAGGGGCAATCATACCAAATAAATGACACCGCTGGGTGGGACACTCTTCCTCTTTCTATCATTCTGTTTGCTCTCTGTTTTTTCCTGGTCCCTCACGGTTTTTGGTTGCTGATTATTGGGCTGCCTTGCACTTAGCACTCCTTGGCCTGCCAAGAGTTTGGTTTGTTTTGTTTCAGGTGACAATTGTGCTCACAGTGTTCACAATAATCACACACTGACTGGTAATGAGGCCAATGCTGTCCACAACATTACCAGGGAGCATAGCTTTGAATCTTTTGTTGCTTTTGACTAACAATAGTAGTCTTTGTTGGTGATAGGTGTTGGACACACGTCTTTGAAGCGCTGTTGCCACCTATAATTAGTTTCAGATTCAGGAGTGTTTAACTGCTTTCGATGCTTTAAGTGGACTGCTTTCTTTCTTTTTTTTATTAACTTGCAAATGTTTATGTTCTTTTACCTTTAACCACATGTGTGTCTCTTCTCTCTCTCAAGATCCAGAGAGGGAAGCTTTGTGTTTTTCCTGCCACTAAGAATGATGGCCTCAAATCAGGGGAATCTAATTATGGAAGTGATAAGAGGGACAGTGGCCAGGATGACGGTACCCCCCCTTTGCAAAGGGGCAGTTCCCCACAGTTCTGTTGTTCTGGCAGTAGGGAGGAAAAGCCAGTATTTGTGGGCTGAGCGGGACCCAATCTGTAATCCGAGTGTGGACCTCATGCAAAGATAGTGGGAGATTATGCAGAGGACCCTCAAATAGTGGCCTCAAATCAGCTCTATCTTTTGAATCTATCACGCCAGTCTCCTTCATTGATGCCACCAGACCCTGATTATGTATCCACCCTGGCTTTTGAGGGGTTAGGAGGACAAAGGTCAGGGACAAATCTGGTTCTGGTCAACAAATCTGGCGCCTGAACAGCTACCTCTAGTTGCTTCCTTCTTGAGTGCTCTTGGTTGGGACTTTGTTTTTAAGTCAGTCAGTTCTGGATTCTGTCATCAAATAGGCATGCTTGACCAATGAGAGAAGGAAGGAGATTATGGAGTGCACCAGTGTCGGCAGTGCAGTGCCAGAGGGTGTTGGGCCTCTTTGTGGCTGCTGCCCAGTCTGTGACACTGGGCCTGTTGCACTAAAGCCCGCTCCAGCTTTGGTTTGAACGCCAAAAGGTCTGCCTTCCCAAAAACACTTGTTCCATGGCAGCCTCAGGGTCTTCACATGATTGATGTACTCACAGGCTGTCTAGGAGGCGTTGCTCTGGGACTGGGGGCTGTACGGTGACCATAGCGCAGGTTTGATGGGGGGGTTCTGTTCAGAGTCGTGTCATGCACAGCAAGAGTAGCATGAAAACCGATATTGAGGAAGTTTAGTCTGCCCTGAGAGACATCCTCTGAAATATAGACAGGTTATGGTGAGGACAGACAGCATGGCGGGTTGGAGCCTCCGTCCCTGGACAGAGTGTAACAGCTTCTCTTGTGGGCTCAGTCAAAGGTCAAAAACATTTGTTTTATATTCTTTTGAAGAAACCCTCTCATATAACAACATAAGAAAATTGACTGTGTCTCTAGTGCCGAATCAGCAGCCCTAACAGCTAAAACAACACTTGTTGAGGCTCAACATGGATCCAACAAAGAAGCCACCAGTGACTTGTTATCGTGTGCATCATCCCCAAAACAACAAAACAAGCAAGTCATTCATCTCTCTTTATTTCCTGTGAGGAGGGTTTCATAAAAGCAGTGCCAACATAGTGAGCAGTCACTGACTGCTGATCCAAGTTTCAAAACTGTGCGTTGCAAATCTGTGTTGATAGCACAAGTGTTATAACATACACACAGTATGACCCCTAACAAACACAGTAATGCCACATCACTATTTGCACAATGACGGTTACAGTACAAACTGTGTGTGATTGTAATAAAGCTCATCGTAAATCTACAAATTGTGAAGGAGGATGAAAAGGTTTAGACAATAATTTACAAAATAAAGCAATGTCATCATCTTTAAATGTCCATCAAATATCGCTTTTAAACCAAACGGTTTATCAGAGTACCAATAATTACAATATTACAAAGTAACCAACTCCTACAGCAGTGATTCTGTACACAATAACCACATGCTGCTATTGTGCATGGGTCTTGTCCATCCCTTTCAGTGATCACATTACTAAAAACATTTTTTAATCCAGTCTTTCTCCACCTTTGTCTGTTCAACTGAAGACATTTTCATTCTCAAACTAAATAATCAAGTTCCTGATACAAATGCTGACATTATGCTACATGTGAGTTTTTAACATATTCTAGAGCTGCATATGGTTTATAATGTTGGTACAGTATTTTGTTGATATTAAGAACCTGCAATGAAATCTAAAATGTTTAAGATTATTTTCCAACAGGAAGTCGCCAAATCTCAAGTGTTTTAATCATAAAGTAAAACAAGTCAGGTTGGGGTTTTACGGAAACTGAACTTACACCAAGTGCTGAGTGCATATTACCCACAGTGCCGCGTGGTACTTGTGCTGGGAGCTAGACTTAGTGGCCCCAGGGACAGCCGCAGGGGTCTCCACAGGCCCTCTTCCTGTCCCAGAGGGTGTGCAGCTCCTCGGCGGTGTGTTGGGGAGACGACAGCATATCCAGGTAGCACTCCTTCTCACACAGCCAGCCGGGGTCCTGGGCAGTGGTCCGTGTTAACATGCATATTCTGATTTTGTTATCAGCCATACACTGGTTAATGTCTTACTAAAGTTTGATTGTTAACATGAAAAAACTGAATCGCAGGCTTTTCCCCCTCTCTATTCATTTGACTGAGCCGAGACAGGCTGTGTCCCAGCGGATCGGAGGCGGGGCTTATGCTCTAACGCAAGTGTGTATGCTCTCTGGGCCCGAGTCCCCGGATGATCCGTGTATTTTTGTTCCTGAGTCAGGCCATTTTTGGCTTCATGCGCCACTGAGCACCTTTCAATGAATTGGGCTGAAGTCAGTTCTCTTCATACATCCATGGTTTTCAGACTCCTCAAGCACATGCTTTTACAAGTCATGCTGAGCTTAAAAGCCTGGTATACCATAGGGAATGCGCCATTTTTATTTAATTCAAAATAAACATACCAGTTTGTTAAAATTATAAAAAGCACAATAATTATAAAGTCAAATAGTGAATTACTAGTGAAAACAATCTAATTGATTAGCCCTGCTTTTTGCCATGTATATCAAAATGTTTCAATAAGATTTGAGAGAAAAGGTTTAAGAAATTAAAAATAAGAATGTTTATTTGTTTTAACTTCTTTTAGTCTCCCTTTGTTTTACAGTTTCTTTCAGCATGTTCTACAAGATGAGATGAGAAACCATGATGCTTGAATATGATGTAATTATAGGGAACATGTTATCTTGATCGTTTTGTTTACGTTTATATTTAAATGTTTAATATTTTGTTGTTTTTATTGACATTTGCATCTTGAACTTATATATCATACCTGTCATATATGCATTTTTTTACCCTGTCATCTTCCTGAAGAATATGTTACATCTTTCCTCTCTCTAATATATCTCAAAGTCAGACATTGAATGCCGATATCAACTTCATATATAGTGTGCTATGAAAACACCTACACATACAAAGATGGAAAAAGTGAGACTTCATCTTACCCGACAAAATCTGATGAATTGAATTCTATACATGATTTGCATTCCATTTATTTTACCTGATATTTCTGTGGTCCAACAGCTGCCATCCATATCCCCATGCTCACATCTTCTCCCTGTAACAAGACAGGACAATTCCTCACATTATGATCAGGATTATTTACCACTGTAAACACTCTCTGGGGATCACTACCTGGTAGGCCTTCAGTTTATCCGCATTACTGGCGAGCCACTGGACCAGGTCACGAGAGACCACGTAGCCCGAACCGCAGGCGAACGCTGGGTAGGCGGGACTCGGGTACTCCAGCTCCTGCCACTTCCCAATGCGGTCCACTGCCCAGCTCTGCCTGAAACTGGGTCAGGACGGCACATTATCATCACTTCCTGTCTCCCTTTCATCGCTTTGACAGAGCAGTCCTGTTTCTTTCATCTTAAGTTCAGCTGATCGAGTCAAGTGGATTGAAATCACCAGCAAAATATACAGTCAACAGGCTCAGACAACAAATCGTACTTACTTCCCCCACCAGAAATTGCTGCGCTTGAGACCCTTGTGGTCAATCTTCATTAATACTGAGTCCACGTCGATGTAACAATCATCATCCGTCTTCAGCAGCAGATTAAAGTCAGCGTTTCCCACAGACCTGTCAGAGAGGGAATTTGTAACCTTATTAAAGCCCACCGCCAGATTTTTTTATACCTAAAACCACCGCCGGGGTCAAATTGACCCGGTATTAGAATGCATTGATTTTCAAGGTAAAAGTATTGTTTTAAAAAGAAAACTGGTCCTGTGGTATTGGTATTCTTGCAATTTTGTTAAATTGTTTCGTTTATTAACGCTACAACATAGCGTTTTGTGAGGCGGTTGTCTTGTTGGGTGAAAAGCAAACAGCTGTTTTCTGCGGAGTGCAGTGCGAGCAGTCTCCCGTGAGCGGGGAGCGCGCTCCTTCACTACAGACTGTCCCTATCAATATATCTATCTCTCTCAATCTATAAGGAACCGCAGTAGCCAAAAGGTGTTGCTATAGCAACACGTCATGTTTGTTTACATGCAAAATCAATAGCGCGAAAAGGGGTGGGGTCAATTTTTTGGGCGATTTCTTCAATCTGACTTCATATTGACCATTTTTCAGTGGCGTTTTCTCCTGGAGGCCAAGGGAAGCCAGGCTTCCCCTGTTTTTCCTGATTGTAGTTATAATTTTAATAAATAAATAAAAACACTTCGTTTAGTTTCGGAAATTATTTGTTGTGTGTTGCTGCCGTCTCTCCCCCATTCTCATTGAGTATTTTACAAAGAGTGAAACAGCGCCCCTCTAGATGTTATGGTGAAACAGTAGATTGCACTCTCTGTTGCGAAAGGAGGCCAGCCGAAATTGGCGAGACTTGGTGAAAAAAAATGGAGGGATTGACCAATCAGACAAGGCTCACATCATGCCCCTGCCAACCTGTGATTAGTCAGGGCCATGCCAAGGGAAGCCAGAGGCGGCTGGCTTCCCTCACAATCCAATCAAATCGCATCAATTTAGTGTTGCAGTGACGCAACCTAAAACCCAGAAGTAAGCTATGCTCGGTTTCCCTCGACAAAAAAGCAATGGGATTTCTCCATAGGATTTTGGAAAATAGTTCGAAATAAGGTCAGTGGAAAACGAAGATAGATAACGTTAGATAAATGGACGTTTTGTTCAGTCGGATAATATCCACGCTACTTTTATAATTTTCGAATCATACATTTAATCAATAGATAGAGTCACTGCACCACTCTCACCGCCGTTAGAAAGTAGCAAGCTACTGAAGCAAGTGCAATTATGGAGGGTGGAGATTTGGAGTATTTCATCAAAAATAAATTGTACTAAACTTCCGCTACAGCAGCAAAAACAAATACAATCTGATGACAGTCCAATGCCCAAACTAGAGTTGTGTACAGTGAGGAAAAAAGGAGCGAATCGGACGTAAAACGTTAAAGGTCTCCTGATTTAGTTTGCGAATGAATGCTTATTAGAGTTTCGGCTGGAGAGTGCGTGCGGACCTGTTGGTTAGATAACAGGCGTGTGTAAGTCCTGCATCTGTATAATACAAGTGTGTGTAAAATGATACCGGGTGCTGTAATCACTCATCTGGTTACGTTATTACATTGACCACCACACCCCCGACCCAACAGAAAGGACGTATTATTGGCTTCCCCTAATTTTTTTCCCACGCCACGCTACTGCCATTTTTAACAACATAGGGTGCTACATAACACACTTTCAGGAAAAGTCACGGACTGAGAGACTTTAATATTTTATTGAAAAAAAAGTTACATACAATAAAAAACAGCTCTGGGTCAAATTGACCCGATTGGCGGTTCTAGTGTTAAATACCACGAGAGTGAAGGGGCAGTGGGTCTTGCAAATACGATCACTCGCTAGATTTTTCTACCTGATGACTTACAACTGTAGATTTCCTAACTGAGTGATTGCAATCGTGTTTCTAACAGCGAGACACTTTGAGGCGACGACACACTTTCATTTCAGGTGGCTGATTTCCTCAGAGGGCCCAGGCAATTTGGAGACAGAAAATCGAGTCATTAGCACTTGTCTTACCATTTATAGAACTGAAGCAGTTTGGAAGGCACGTTCCTGTAGGTGTCTACCACGTCTACGAACACCATGTCTCCGTGCCGGAGGCTCTCCTGCTGCAGGGCGGCGTCCTCCTCCCTCAGCCTGGAGGCATGGCGCTCCATCCTGGCCGGGCGGCCCTGCAGGAGCCCCGACAGACCGTCCTCATCTGAAGTGGACATAGAAACAGAAACAATAAGAGAGTTTTCCTCTGAAAGAAGATATTAAAAGCTCTTTGAATACATTAAGGCACTTCTGAGGGATAATGTCTTAAATCACTGAATGGCAAAACTCTATATAACAATTTGTTCTTTTCCACAGGATGAATATTTTTTTCTGCTAGCAGAAATATTGTGTGAGGACTTAATTTTGTTTAACTCAACATGGGTACAAAACGATTCCCAGATAAAGGCAAATGCATGTAAAAATCAAGAGGGGAAATACATATTCATTTCCATTTAGCATAGATGCTGTAGCCCTGAGCTGATAAAGGAGCTATTCTCATAACCAGCCAGAGTGATTTAAAAAATAAATAAAAAGTATATAAAGTATGCTGATTTGATATTGATCGAAATGTTTTTACAAAAAGCTCAGTATTAGTTATTTTGCAGGACCAACCATAGATAGTAAATGTGAACCCTCCAGCCAAACCGGGAAATCCAAGCGCACTTCTATGAGGCAATAAGCCCTCGGCGATCTGCAATTTAGGAAATCAGAAGAAAAAAAAGGTTTGCTTTCTTTCACATCAATTTAAAGGGAATATTCTGAATGTATTTATCTTGAATACTCCATGGGTACGTACAGAGGAGATCTTGAGGACACCTCCTCCGTCATTGAGCTGCACAGAAGACGAGTTGACCGTGGTCAATCCAGCAGAATCCAAATTCTCCCAGACCAGTGTCCCCTCAAAACCCTGCGTGGAAAAAAGTCCTGTGAAATCTCTTTTTGGTGTTGCTTCCCGTGCAACAAAGCATATTTGTACGTGTGCATTCACCTGTTTTTATGCACAATTAGCAGAAACATGATAAATGAATACTGTAAACTTTGGAAAAAATTGTGTATCAATAATAGCAGGTGGTAAAAATGATTTGAAAGGTATTATACAGATTTTCTCAAAATGGTTAATGGTTCAAATTTGCGATACATTTAGATAAAGGAAAGAAGTATTACCAAACCAATTATTGCCTATAGCAGGCATGGCCAAGGTCGGCCTGCGTCAGATTTAATATGGCTCACAGCTTCGGTCTTAGAATGTATTATTTATGGCCCGCTATCACTGTCAAACCAAACTAAATTGCCTTTGTTTGGGTTGTAACTGGACTCTTTGCTAAAAGCGGATTTAACTGTATATATTGATCTGAGGAAGAATGGACATATGATTTATTTTGTATTTCAGATCAGTGATGGGGAGATATTTCCCGAATTAATTTGTGTATGGTTTGACTGAGCAATTTATTTTCAGTATTTTAGATTATTATTTGTCAGACCTGATTCTGACTAGCAACCTCCTTAATTAAAAATAGGTAAAACCCGCTATAAAGTTGAAGGTATTCCATATATTTTGTTCAATGTTACCTGACATTCCAGATATGAATGAAAGGCAGAATTGCGTTTTAGTGTCTTTTATTTGGTTACATTGCCATTTGAAAAATAAATATAATTGTGACCTTGAACATTTTGATTCAACAGTGTATTTGTATGTTACTTTTATGTTTAAAATATGTCAAAAGGGAGTATTGGCCCCCCGCGCATATTCACATTATCAAATCTGGCCCTCTCTGAAAAAAGTTTCCACAACCCTGTCCTATAGCAATTTATTTTCTGTTGGGAAATAATTCATTAAAAACATTGAATATGTCATTTCCTGGTACACTTCCTGAAAAGAGCTATGTTTAATACTCTGGTACTAATTAAATGAAACATTAAGAAATATTTTTGACACAATGTTTTGGTATTAGTTTGTTGTGTTCGCCATGGATCATTATTTAACAACTACTTTATTTAAATAGAACTTGCAGAAAATATTTCCATGAAATATCCAAATAACAGGGGAGAGTGTCAGTTGGCGGACTTGGGCTCAAAATTGGTAGCCAGGATTTTTAGAAATTCTGAGTACAAAACTGACCTTGGGCAAGATGAACTGCTCCACTGGTTTGTACCACACCCCGCTCACCACGGTGCCGGTGCTGATGGCACTGAAGCGAGCCGTGACCACAGCCTCCTGCAAAGAGCACACACTTTTACCACATAAGAATTCATCGATAACAGTTTTCACAAACGTAACTTCACCTACACTGAATACTCCTGCTATCTTTAAGACAGTAACTTTAGTAAGTGTCTTTCAGTAAACACCACCAGCACTGAGTCCTCCAGCTCCCCCCAGGCTGTGTGTCTAGCAGCCTCCAAAAGAACACTCATACGGGACACATTATGCTCAGAGTAGGGCTGCTCAATTAATCGTATTTTAATCGCAATTACGGCTTGCAACGAAAACAACGTAATCGAAATAAAACGATAATTGTTTTATTATTATTATATTTTGGTTTTTCAGTTGAATTACACTTAAAGTTCAGGGTAATCAAATGTTAAACACTGTTCAACATTTTTTTCTTTTTTCAAAGTAAATGGATAATCGTTTTTAATAATAGTGATATCAATTATTGACCCAAATAATCGAGATTATGATTTTTGCCATAATCGAGCAGCCCTAGCTCAGAGGCGAGAGTGGTGTTACCTCCTGGTCGAGCTGGAGAAGCTTCACCGTCACATTGCTTTGAAGCTCGGGCTGGGTCCCGCTGGGAAACACCCCCAGCCTCGTGATCACCACTGGGTGGAGAACTTTGAAATCCAGGGCGATGGCAGACACGTCGGAGGGGGCGAGCAGCGAGGGGTCAGACACCTTCACGATCTCTATCTCTGCATCCGGCCCCACCACTGGCACAGAGGGATGGCAAAGATTACTGTACAAGCAAACGTGAAATGTATTACAATTCCAACATGCTGACCGTCGCTTTTCAGTGATGAAGACCGAGTTATTCAGGGAGAGGGAACGCATTCGGAGAAGAAGGCAGATTCTGGTAAAGCTACACCATCAGCACTTTGAGGAGCCGCTGTCTTCAAAGCGAGCTTCTGTTCAGTGAGTGTGGTTTCTTAATTACAAAAGAGCAGTTTATTACCCAGGAGATCAATGAAAATATCAAGGCTGTTAAAGGGAAGCAGTCTTTTTTACTTTATATGCATTCTACACAAGTTCTGCTGTTCACGCCAAACAATTAGAGGCCAGGAATCACAGACAAGACAAAGCAGCACTTTATCAAACCAACTGTTTCTCACACAGGCCGAGTGGAAGTGCGCTGCACTAGTCTGTGAGGATATATATTTAAGTATCAATTAATAGTTTTAGCACACTTAACAAAAAGAGCCATAACAGCGCTTGCCAACATGCTCCCTTTTTGCTAGTTTATTCTGGCGGGAAATAAATAAAACTTTGCATAAATTCTTAATAATAAACAGCAATGTAAAGTTATTCACTATATATATTTTCTTTAAAACAAAATCTAAGAATATCCTTTATTGCTTACAGTTTAACAGTTAGTGATGCAATGTACAAATCAAGTCAAAAAGGCTGAATCTGAAAGGCTGAAAGTAATTTGCATTATAATCAGTTGGTTATCATCAAAAATATATGCAAACATCAACATCGATCAACAACATCCAGTATAAAAGATTAAATTCACATTTGAGAAGCTGGAAGAGCTGAGACAATTAACAAACACAGAAAAAGGAAAAATAAATATCAGCCTTGAGGTCACAAAATCTATTTAAATCATCGAGATTTTGACTTTTGTCACCAGTACAAAGCACGCACCTTGTGTTGCTGGCAGATCAGAGTCTGAGTAACTAATTAGCATTCACCTTAGTTCTAGTCACCAAAAAAAAATCCCTAATGATGAATGCAGCACAAACATATTTCAACAACAATTAATTGTCCATGTAATGTGTGCTTTGACCTGAATCCTGAGTAAGGTGTAAGGTGTGTAAAAGCAGCAGTTGGCTCTTTCTCTTCCAATCACAACGAGCATCTCGCTCCAAAGCCGCCTTCAAGCCTCTGATTATGAAGCAAATCACGTCAACAGTTACGACCATTAACCCAGCGGAGAGCAGAGAACAGGCTGGAAAAATAAAACATCACCATGACCCTAAAGGCCGCCGTCTGAAAAAAAGCGTATTCTGATGAGCGGTAATTATGTTTTCATGAAGGCAGCAAACACCAAACTGACTGAGAGAAGTAGTGAATCGCCTGAATAGAGCGGGCCCTGTGAAGGTGAGAGACATAACAATTACTGTGGATTTGACAGTGAGCCCGTTCAATGAATTCCTATATGGTGCGTCAGTGCTTTGTATAGCTTTACTTTGTAAGTGTTAGAAGGCAGTTCTAGTTAGGGCTGCAGCAGCTGGGAGAGACTTTGCTTTGGCCTTGGGTAAGGAAAGGAAAATAATGGTGTCCTTGAGCTGTGGGCGAACATGAATAAAGGTGTTTTACTTATTTTCTGAACATGCATTCTTTCAGCTCATCTCCTGTTATTCAGCCTCCACTCTCCTATTGACGATTTCACATGCAAGGGAGCGTCTCTTGATATTACAGCTGCAGATGCCCCTTCATTAGTGGGTGAGGCTGACTGTCATTTATATAATTTTTACCTGGCTTTGTAAAGTTCAGGAGGGAGCAGGAGTATGGATCCTCTCTATCCTCCTCTGGAATGGAACACCCATGTTCTCCGACGATGAACTTCACCCCCACTCTGAAAATCAGCACAATCACACTTTTGCAATTTCCCCCAATATTAGGCTGTAGGATTCCTAAAAAATTTCCATCTATCCACCCTCCGTTGCCATGGTTACTGAGGGTTGCTTAAAGGCCATCACACCTTATCCACGCTCAGATCACTGAATGAGAAGGAAATGGACAGAAAGGAAGAAAGAAAGAGAGAACAATATTGGCCTCTGGTCAGGTAGAGATAAAAGGTTTAGTTTGGGCAGTCAGTTATTTGCTCAAACCCGAAGGCTTTATTTCCACCGTATGAATCTGGCCTTGAAAAAAGAGACAGAAAGAAAGAGAACCAAGAGATGAAGTTGGAGCTCCACCCTACAGACCTGAGCTGGAAGTGAGGGTGGTCTCGGATGTAGCCCAGCCAGGTCTGCCTTATCGCTTGTCGCAGTTCATAATGGTGTCTTGCTGACAGCACTCCCACCAAAACGTCATAGAAAGGTAACGATTCATCTGTATCAGAAACAAAAAGCCATGCAAAAAATATTGAAATGAAAAAACTAAAAAATATGTAATTTGTGATCCAGTGATGAGAATGTGAAGATAGGGATGATAAATGACCAACAGTCGGTGACACCGATAAGGCAACAACCAGAGATAATGAAATAACATACACTTTGAGGCATGCTTGATTTATGCTATCCATCTCTGATTCCGACACATCCGATTGTTAGTCTGCACTGACTTACTGTGATGGATCCTATCATTCTACCATCATGCATCAAAAGGTGGTTACTATATTCCTCTGATTTAAAAAGCGGGTTCACCCCTCCAGGGTCCTCCTGATCATACGAGACCAAAGTCCATTTGAAAGCAGCGCAGAGATCAGTAGTTGTAACAAGACAGAGATGTTCAGCTCACTTCAGTCTGTTTCAGACATTAGACTATCCCAGCAACGCCCAGCCCTACTGAACTGTAACATTATCACACACACACACACACACACACACACACACACACACACACACACACACACACACACACAACACACACACACACACACACACACACACACACACACAACACACACACACACACACACACACACACACACACACACCACACACACACACACACACACACACACACACACACACACACACACACACACACACACACACACACACACACACACCACACACACACCACACACACACACACACACACACACACACACACACACACACACACACACACACACACACACACACCCACACACACACACACACACACAGCATTAAACTACCTGTTTCCACACAAACTCACAACAACAACAACAGACACCACGGGGCGGTAAAGGCAAAGTTAGCAAGCCGCTCGAATATCGAAAAAAGTTGCAAGGCTTTCGAGGTAAAACCCGAGAAAAGTACCCGAGTGTGTGTTGTTGTCCAGCGGGCTGGAGGAGGGTCGTTGTGCCAACCACAAGTGCACCAGGACGGCGACAGCACAGGGCAGCAGAATGAGCGCTAGCCTCCGCATGGACCCTTCATTCAGCCGGAGCAGCCTTCAGCTTTGGCGGCGCTGAGCCTCTTCCTGAGCCGCACTGCACGGTGTGAGCCGCTCCGTGTGTGCTCCGCCGGGCTCTCACCACCGCCTCATGTCTGCCTCCGCTGCAAGGAGAGATAGACCAATGGGAGACGAGCAGCCCTCCCGCGGTGCACTCTGGGAAAATGAGTTCGACGCACTCCAGCCAATCAAAACAGTACTGTGATGCCGAAGGTACAATAAAATATGAATAGGCTATACAAATTGGTTAGGATAGAATTAAACTTGTTCTGTGTTATAATTATTGTAATTTATATATTAATACTATTATTAACAGCAATTATATAATAAAAGTTGTCATTGTAATCAATACATAACAGCTGACATATCATTTTTTTAAGGGGTTAGGGCATGAAATACAAATAATGAATATCCAGATAAGAACAAAAAAAAGTATAATAAATCTAGGGTTACATAGCATTATTATCAGCAGTAGTATATTTCCATTCTCAAAAATGGTATGTTGGTTTATTCTATACATTTTATCATTTGAAACATCTCCATAAACAAATAAAGCAGGTATACAAGTTTCATATTTAAAAGGAACCAAATGTTATTGTAAGCACAAAACAATGCAAATAGTTTATCACATGTTCTTAGAAGTAGTGAGCTATAAACAGTATCTCTAAGGCATGTTTATAACATAACATTTCAGTTTCTTTGTTGGGTTTTGCTTCAGTCCAAATTGGGAATTTTCTAATCAGAACCACATTCTAAGCAGAGTAGAAAATTAAGATACAAATCATTTTATCTATCTACAAGACCCAGGCAACGTGTTGTAGCTTTAAGATTAGAACATAACTTTATTAAACCCGTTACTCTGTGGTGCATATAAATAATTTAAATGCAATCTATTGTGCATGGCGACGGGTGTTTGAGGAGGATTTCTTCTGACTCTGAGAGCCCCAGTGTTCCTGCTGGAGAGGAAGAGAGGGCCAGATACCAGGAGCACCTGCTGCCATGCTGTAAACATTTCATTTGTACAGATGTTAATAGTGAGTGTTTCACACATGTTATTTTAGTCATTTTAAAACCCTCTTTCAGTGAGAAATAATAACGTAATGGAATACACTGGCATGCAACAGAGTATGCCAATGTTATGAGTAGAAATGCTGAGTGTAGATAAATAATCTCATCAGACATTAGGACTATTTTCATTTATTTTGTGCACACTTTGGGGGCTCACTGCTCAATTTGGAAAATTGCTCCAGCACAGATTCCCGGTGTAGATAACCAAGTGCCCTAGGGATAATTACTTTCCTGTGTATTATATAATTATTTTTGGAATCATATTCATAGATGTACTCATTACAAAGATGTAGTTATCTCTCTGCAACACATTATTCATTTGAAAGGAAAAGGCTATTCATAGCATGTTCTGGGTTTCTCCAAACATAACCTAACATCCTGCTTTGCTGCGGACCCTCATCTAAGCATAGTTTGTGGTTTTGTTCCCCACTCTGATCTTAGTTCATATTTGTTTGTTGAAACCTATTTATGCTTTATTAACGCATTCCAATCTTCTTTGTTGCAGTGTTCAGACACTCAGCACTCACTGCCCTTTTTCTTCCTTTTACAGATCTATAAAGATGTATTTGTATCTAGTTATGTCCCACCTGAGAACTATGTGCATTCCATTTACTATTGAGACATACTTCTTGAATGTCTGATTTTGGTTCATAAAACCAATTTGTGAAAACAATGTTCTTATCTGAATTTGAAGTCTAAAGAAAGAGGCTGCTTCTGTTGTACAGACAGCAAAGCCCTCTGGGATTTGATTTTGGGCTATATATATATATATATAGAAGTCAAATTAACTTACTGCAACTAAAAACATTTTTTTCAATCCTAAGTATTTCATTTATTTGGTATAACCTGAAAAATACTTAACTAAACAACTAACAATTACCTTTAAAGGTAGGGAAATACAAAAGTAATAAACAATTATTTATTCAGCTAATGTGCTTCATTGGGACTGTACGGGTGAAGTCGGATCAGATAGTTTGACAGCCGATCAATGTTGATTATATTCTAATTCAAATATTGCTTGATTTTTATTGGTGAAGGGAACATTGGGACATTAGGATTTTTAAGAAAAATCCCACCCATCCCAAACAAAGAAAAACAGACCAAACTAAAGACATAAATACAGAAATCTCTCACGTAAAAAAAAAGCTAAACCCTTCACGGACACAGAAGTTCTCCTAAACTTAGGAGAACTTCTGTGTCCGTGAAGGGCCCTATCAATCACAGTAAGAAGCAATTTGAGAAAATAGGTTTTTCAGGGGGGCTTGAAATAAATGTGAATAATAATCCACACCACAGCTGTGCCATGGCTTAAGAATATCTACTTCTACTTAATTACATCCTGGTCCTTTGGGATTTGTTCAGAGAAATCAATAAGGGATACCTGACTTGTGTTATTAATGTCATTCATTACACTTGTCCACACTGTTTTGTACAATCTGTTCAGTTGTTGCCAGTTTAGTTGTTCTTTTTTTGGCATTTTAATTATAGAAGAAAGACAGACGGGAAAGGGGGAGAAAAAGTGGACGACACTCAGAAAAGGGCAACGTGTCAGATATAAACCTTGGTCGCTTAAGTAAGGACTACGCCTTGCCAGTTTTTATAACTTGACCTATTATAGAACACACCACGTACATTTGACCATATGTCGATGACTCATTAACCTTAAAGCACAGTAAGATAGTGACAAAAATAACCCATCTTGGTAGAAATGGGTTTCAGTCTGTTCCCAGGGGGAGGCTGTATGCATGGATGAACACATCAAATCGCTACAACACAAAATGTTGCTGTCAGCAGCTGATACCCTGAATCATTGCAAGGGACATTTTTCATCAACCTGCGGTGTCTGAAGATGCTTTCTTTTTTATAAGCAGTGTAAAGGGCAAACTGGCTGAGGCTGCATTGAATCACAATCCTTTAAAAAAATATGACAGTGCACCCAGGTGGCCTATGGTTGAGCTCAGCCACAGGGGGTCTCCACTACACACCAGAATGTCATGCTTATCTGAGAGAGCCACAATGACTTGCAATGGCCTTTTATGACATCAGTTGGATCAAATTTCAGTGAAAGACAAGAGGCAGAAATATTGCAGACACAGCACATTGGGGTTGCCGTTTTCCTTTAATTCATTTGATCCATCAAGGATTTACAAAGCCTGTTATTTAAATGCTATTTTTTTTTTTTACCAAAACGATAAAACCATTCATGAGTACATCTGCACATCGTCGACATATCCGAACTCAAATGACATTATTATGTGCTGAGTAGCGCCCAGAATGTCTACGAAGAGGCAATATTTCATATCATAATAGTTCTCTCTGTTATAGATAGAAATAAATCCATGCAATATTCATCTCTAGACGTTATATTTCAGATTTGGCACCATCCTTGAGAAGAGAGCGCCCTGATGTCACTCTCACGTTTTTAAATTTAGGAAATAAAAACAATATTTATCCTGAAAACAATTTCAAGTCCAATAGTTTGTGACAGTCACTTTAAATCCTAATGCAATGGCTGTTCAAGTACCAAGAGGACATTTCTTTTAACTTTACAGAAACAATGATGCAAAAAGCCTGAACCACCGAAGGGATCATAATATGTAAACCGACCCTTACCATTATTTTTAAAAAATACTCGGATAGTATCAATAATTGCATGACTTATAAATGTTTTTTTTTCTTCTCCTAAGTATCATACAAGCTTAGTAGCACTACACGTCATGTAGCTGTCAGTGCTGTGCAACAAATATTCAATAATACTACCGATAATAATAACAATATTAATAACGATCATAACAATTAATCGTAAAAATTAGCAAATGCTATTCGACTACCATGTAAAGGAAAGGTTTCAACAGTGTGCTTTTTCTTCCAAAAACAAACCAAACGGAAAGAAGGCTGCGGGAGCACGTAGTGTGAAGATCACACTGCTCGCACAGAAATTGGCACTGTAACGTACTGTACACTCTAAAAGACGGACAGTCCCTCGGAAACAGAGGAGGCTGTCAAAAAGGAGCGGATAAACATGCAGGCCTCTGGTTTTGGCATTAATGTCAAAGGCCTTGCCATTCACTCTAGGACAGGCAAAAAGAATCAGGCCCAGGAAACATGCCCAGAATGAAGATATAAAAGGAAAAGATGTCCTGCGACTTGTAAAAAATATCCCATTTGGGGAGCTGAAGGATTAACACATAGTGTCTCTGATTTGAAGTGAATGACGTATATGATGAGTAAATCAAACAGAGCAGCAAAGGTAGAATGCATTAGAGCGGGCCTGGGAAGGAGGGGGCAGATTCATAAATAACGTCTGACCTTAAGGGTTGTTTGCACAGTGATAACCCTGAAGAACTCGCTGTCCTAATATTATCTCTGCAACTTTTAATAAATAGGGAGTCTATTTATTTATTAGCAGCAGAACTGATGTGCAGCCATCTTATTTGTACTACCAGTGTTATTAGCACACACTAAAATAATTTACTATGCAATATAAGGTTTCTGTTTCTGGGCTTTAATCTGAATCTGACTACTGCAGCACTAATAAGAGCGGGTTAATTGTTTGTGACTGGAAGCAAATTAAAAGAGAAACCCCTAGTGAGTGGAGTGTCACATTTTAGTCGTACTTTCAGTAAGCATTGCTTCGAATCAGAGGTCGCGTTAACCGAATATTTTCCGTCTATGACGGATTTTTTTTAACAATGACAGACAAATCTGAAAGCAGTCCGTCATTTTTGACAGATTAGAACAAATTCGGAACAGCGCCAAAGTTTTCCCGCAGCGAGGCTGCTTATGGGTGTTATGCATGCCCTCCAAAAAGGAAATCATACCGTTTCCAAACCTAACTGTGCCGTACAAATTATTGAAATGTCTGTGAGTTTTGGCTGTACGCTGTGCACCCTCCCGCAAGGTGCAGCAGCCATGCATAACACGGCGCATGTGAACTGTCCCTCTCCCCCCCCCCCCCCGTCGAGCATGCTTCTCCCCCCACCCCCCCCCCGTCAGAGTTGTGTAAAGGCCGACGGGTAATTCTGGATTTTGACGGAAGTTTTACGATCCTGTCCGTCAAAATGACGGGCAGCGAAAAAGTCTAGCGCAACCTCTGCTTCGAATAGACAACCTGTGCACTGAAAGTAATGTCTTAAATTATGTCAAAGATAATACAAAGATATTTTTTTTCATTCAGATAAAGGGAAGGGACATTTAAGAAAAAGTCGTAGACACTGGGCAAATTTATGTTTCCTGAGGCATGTTAAAATCTAGCACAATAAAATAAAAAATAAAATAACATCTCTCATCTCAATAAGCAAGGCTGTTCTCTAATAACAAAGCAATAACAAACCTATTTAACAAGACATGATACGCTCACTGGGTTGCCAGTTCAGTAGCTGACTCCCCCAAAACCTTCAGCCACCAGGACAGAGCTGACCAACAACAGAGTGTCCACCTGGCAAAACTCAACTCAACGCCTATGGCCAGTAGCTTCAGGTGTGGTGAAGACAGAGAAGACAGGCAGCGCCGTGCCTGCACCCGCGCAGCTCTCCCGGCAGCTCATCAGAGGATGTTGCAGAAGAACTTCTTCTCCCGGAAAGGGTTCTCGGAGGCGGGGACGGGTATGATGAGGGGGTCCTCGCGTATGTGGGCGTCGCAGTACGCCATCAGGTCTGCAGCCGCTTTGGAGACCTGAAATGTTGAGACAAAGAAAAGGACACAGAGGGGTGATCAGAGGTTTCACTTTCTCTAACACTCAAACAAAATAAGATGTACAGTAGTCAACCATAGGATCACAAAGATGGTTCCTTCAAATTACTCTACCGCTCTACCTGAATCTTAAAGGTGGGGTAGGTAAGTTCGAGAAACCGGCTCGAGATACACTTGTTATTATATTCCATGGAATGCTCTTAACATCCCGATAGCAATGAATATCTGAAGTGCTTTGACAAAAAATCCATTAAAAAATGTCATCTGTGGAAGCCGTAGTACTGTAAAAAGCACGACCAATCATTTTAGCCGGCCCGGTGTACCTGCCTGGTGTACCTGCCTGTCAGCCTTCCATCTGTGCACAAACTTATCTCGTGCCCTCATTGGTCATGTAGAACATTTTCAGCTTTTCTGCCTTCATCAGGGAGGTGTCTGAGGTTGTTTCCGGTTTCCTGATATATAATTCATCATCAGTCAAGTGAATTAAAAAGTTCAAATCTGACCTTTAGTGCATCTCTCTGGCTTTCCATGTTTTTAATCTCACCTCTCCCCTGTTTCTAACTAATAAAGGCAGAACAAGGCCCGGAAAAAAAAATACGACAAAAAGGAGATGATGAGATTTCAGTTTTTTCCTTCATGGACCTAGCTAAGTCAATATTAGACAAACACAAAGCACAGTATATCTAAGGCTGATGGGAATGTCATTAGTTTTGCTAGTATTAGTTATAAATGAGTTTGGCATGATGATGGCACTTGAATAATATATCAAGAGATGCAACCAGGATTAAGCCTATGGGGACCTTGAATGTAATAAAATCATCAAATAGTGATGAGCTATTTCGGTCTGGACCAAAGGGGCCAACATGGCTATCACTTTATTCACACCACTACCACTATTATAGTATAGGTAAATAAAGCATGGATTAGTGCAGAAAAGTTCGGCTACAGTTAAGCTCACTCTGGTCTGCAACCCGCTGTGTGTTCATTCTCAGAGAAAATGTTTTTGGAGCTAAACTCTCAGCAGAGGAGAGATGTCCGAAACCTCGATGAATGTTGCATGGCCCTTTTTTCTGTAAAATTGCTTATCGTCTGTGTTTCTGCTTCGTCAGCGCCCGTGGCTGCACTGATGCCTGTTACCTCAGCCCGAGGCAATAAGAAGAGACAGCTCATCAAGATGACTGACAGGTGTTAAGGCGGGACCTTGAAAAACTGAAGGGGAAAAGAGGGTGGGACTAACCACACACTTTCTGCCTCAGGGCGAAAAGTTGCTTAGTGTTTTTTACAAAGTCAAATGGCAAGACTGCATGAGAATGTAGGGTTGTTTTATTGGGGGGTTACGGAAGGGAAAAGGCCTCAAATGGAAAGCAGAGGAGGATCTGCAACAGAGGGACGGAGAGGGGTCAGGGATCTTCATGGAGAATAAAGCCATCTGATCTCCTGTGCCATTTCACCTCATCCAATGATGCTCTCACAAGAGAATACGCCCAAGATCTTTTATGCTTCAAAAAGGGATTATAACTGTACAATTTATTCGGTCTGCAGCACAAAATAATATGTCTAATAGATTGCTCATTTCTGTTATTTAAAATGAACAATAAGGCTGGCGTTATCCTATGTTTTACATATTGTTAATTCTTCTCATGAAAAGACCATAACCAATATTGTGTGTCAGTCACTCAATCATTTCTGATTTCACCGTCTGCCACTCAGCTGTAAGCCCATCTTTCCTACTGTAGCATAAATCTCTAAAAACAGCTCTCAAATATGTACTTCACCAACATTCACTTTAAAAAAAGGCAACTGAAAAGTCCTTAAACGAATGAGCACTGGAGTCTTTCACAAATGCTACTTGAAGAGGGACTCATTATGCATGTGTCTGTTTTTCTTTTTCAGTAGTGGATTACCAAACATTTGATGCGGCTCATAGATGTGTTTTTCACATCTACTATATTCAACCCAGTCTCATGGCATTTCGTGTTCACCAACACGATTTTTAATCTATTGATTCGTGTTCACCAACACGATTTCCCCCTTTTTTTCGTGTTGCACAGCACGATTTTAAAAGCAATGTATTTCTACTGGTAATGTGTTTCGTGCCTGCAGCACGTCTTTTTCTCAGGCCGGGTCGTGGAAGACCGGAAGCTGTGTGGTTCATAAAAACATGTTCTTACTCAATATCAAGCCACAATTATTGCTTTTATTTTAAATCGTATAATTTCAGACTTTTGTTGCCTCAGGATACTGAAATCTGTATTTTTAAAATCTTTTTTTCCTTCTAATTTGTTATTCTTTACAAAATAACACAGTGTTATTTACTCACCAATAACACACAATTATCCTTGCTTTTATTTATTGGTTTAATTTCATAATCTCGTGCTTTTTTGGCGTCCGTCAGGAACTGAATTTCAAAATAAAAATAACCGGAAACAGACGTAGGCATTTCGAGCGATTACCCAAGATCCTCAGCTATGGTTTAAGCTTGCTGATTGGATGTTTTAGCCGCAATGCATGCTGGGATTTGGTGTTTATATGATATGAAATCCGGAAAACATTTTAAAAGAATAAAATACTTAATTCCGAGTGTTCTTGCTTTTCTCTTTGAAAGTCATCACATAACGGCATTGTAATACACGGTTCGGCTGCATTAAATATTACAGATCTGCCGTAGTTCTTGATTTATAGAGCCCTGATGAGAAGACCTTTGGAAAAACTGGAAGGAATGCCGCCGAAACTGAATACTTGACATGAATCATAAATATATCAACAATTAAACAACATCTTCAATTTCTCTTCATACAATACGTCTCCTTGCAGTATCAACACTAATTCGGCCTAATTCGGCTGACTTTTATATGTATAGTTGTGTATATGCAGGGCCGCCCCTCCCTACAGGCCAATCACGCAGGCTGCATGGGGCCCCGCCTTGCGCAGGGGGCCCCGCCCAGAGGGCCTCAGCTGCTGTGCGCAGTTCTCCGCTCAGTTATCCGCGCACACCCCGCAAGAGTGAGAGTGCGGCGCACGCCGCTGTGTGGACGGGCCGTGAGAGGTGACAAGAGGAGCACGTTTGTAACCCGACACCGTTGCAATGAATCGACATCTGACCAATCACGGCTTTGATACGGCCACTAGTGCAGGTGAAGAGATGTCGGTGAAAAGACAGTTTCAGTCCGGCGCAAAAAACAAAACATGAAGAAACTAGAGCACCACTCGAAGGTGGGTTATTGTATGAGTCAAATTTACAACTTACGAATGTTGTATAAGTCAAATTGCCAATTGCCATCTTAAAACATCAGCTGCAATTCACGACATGAAGAAGGCAGTCTCTGCATAGCATACAGGCTAATGGAGATGCAGTTATTTCCAGCATTCTTTATTTAACATTCATTTAAGTATGTTATGCCTTTTATCTGCTAATATACAGGAGGAAGAGTGATACTGTCTGTCTACTTGGCTTACATAACAGTTAAAGTTTACAGCCTAAAAAACATGGAGCATTTTTTCCCCTTTTATTCATTTTTATGTCAATTTGCACATTTCATGGTGACGCTTAGCCTCTCCCCTTAACTCCTAACAGTCATCATCATGTCAACCACAACACAGAGAAATACTGATAGAAATGTGTGTGTAGTTGTTGACACATTGCTGACAGAGAGAACTAGAATACAGATTTAAGAAATATCAGTTTTTGAGCATGTCATAAGCATGTTTTGTCTTGACTATATTACAACTATATTATAATAAAACAATATAGTATTTTTTATTATTGAATTGATTATGATTATCATTATTAATAGAAGTAGTTTATTTGCATTAATTATGTTTTTATCTTTTTGAGGCTAGTATTTGGCAGGAAATGCAAAATTCACCTGTAAACCCATACTGAACGACATACATGCACATTTACCATTTACTTCACTGTATAAAAAAGTAACCGTTGATAATAATAATAAACAGGAATTATATTTGCAAAGTAGCCTACTTTGTTTCCAAAAAAAAAAAGTTCACTCCTGTCGGTTAGGGGGGGGGGGGCCTCATCTCACAATGTCGCTTGGGGCCCCAAGTTGGCCAGGGGCGGCCCTGTGTATATGATATGTCAATAAACCTTTGAACATTTTGAAATCTTGAAAGGGATGTGCAAAATAGCCATTATACAGTCTTTAATTAACTATTAGTAGAGAATAACGAGTAATGAATATACTTTATTACTCGTTTCCATTCATGTCAATTGCAGATAAATGTTTAGTCTTCTCAAGCACCAACTATCAAATATCTCTCCTGATTGTCAAGTGCCAACAATCAGGAGAGATATTTGATAGATACAGACATAAATAAAGCAGCTGTATTCGCCATGTAGGAAACACACATTTAAAACGGGTTTGCCTGCCGTTTTTGTGTACACAAGCATTCATCAATGGTTCGGAAAGTGGCGCTGTACCTTAATAATATAAAGGCTTGTATTTGCGTGCATTTCCTGTTCGGAAAGTGTCAATGTACTGAGAGTGGAGGTGTCCTGCAGGCAGGCTCCATGGACCTGTCAGCTCCGGACTGCGCAAAATGCGTACATGAAGCGCTACGTCATGAACGCAAGAAATCATACCCTCGTGGGGGCGCGCTCATGTGATTGGCTTAGAATGGAGGAGACATCTGATTGGCTATAGATAGAAAAAATTACAAGTACGAATCGGCTGACCGTCAGGGGAGTCTCAAAAAACCCACACACGAATGCACAGCGATCCATGCACAGAAAGCGGTTTGTGTTTGCAGGTGCAGCGGTTTTAAACGGAAAACAAATATGTGAGGATCAAAAATACATATGTAAAACCTTTTTCTGTAATTGGATTTTATTTACATGTATATGAAACGGAACACATTTGTGTGTGCATTGAAAAACACAAGTGTGGATCCGGAAATACAAGTGTGAATCCTTTTGCGGATCATGAAATACAAGTGTGAATCCTTCTGTGTGCATGTGTGTATTATGA